GTCGTGAAAATTAAAAATATAAGACCAGTTTGAAGGCGGGAGAGGGAAAATTAGGTGCACACGATTCCATGTGAAGGTTTAGTCACGACTCTGGCCAAGATTCACACGCGTGACGCGGAAATGAGGTCGACAGTGTTTATAATGTTGATTATGAACCCTTGCAAATGTCGGGGGATTTAGTTGATGATGGCTTTTTGCGGAGGTGGATTATTTAAGGGGGTAATTCATTAAGGAGTGAATGGGTTTAATTAATTATTCATAAAGGAGATTCCAGTGTTGCTGCTATGGATTCAGAGAAAAATGTATTTTTGCTCGATAAACTCTACTGGCCAGTGGAATGATCTTGGGAGCGAGCGACTTTATGGGGAATTATTGGGGGACATTTCCCGTTGCAAATAGGGATATTTCTTGGTTTTTGCGGCCGAATGGAGGCATTGTATTTGTGAAATCTGAAAGTTCTATTTTTTTGGGTGACGATGACTAATTTTGGTGTCAGGAGTTCGAATATGCTGTTTTTAGATCATGTCCGTATGTATGTGTGCTTTTCTTCAAATTTAGTTTTTCGACTATCATTTAAAAAAAATAATCATCGAAATCTTTTCAATTATGGCTTGAAATATTCGTTTGGATGTTATCTCGGTCGAGTTCGAAGCTAGTGGCGATCGCATCATTTGATTTGAAATCATAGCCTTAAAAAGCATTTAATCGAGGTTTAATCATGGTTTAGTCAGGGTTTAGTCGGTGGTTAATTAGGGTTTAACCAAGATTTCGTCAAAGTTTAATCAATGTTCAGTGGAAGTTTAAACCAGTTTAATTTTAATTTAGTCGGCGTCAGTTAGATGTGTAACCAGAGCATATGGAGCTCATGTTAGATATTTGGGGCATTTAGGGATCATATTGAGGTTTCATGGCTGGTATATTTTCTTCCCCAATTTACCATTCAGAAGCAAATTGCCAATTCATTAGCAAATAGTTATACTGGTCTCAAGTCCAGTTTAAAGAAAACTATTCAGGGGAAAAATAAAATTTAAATAATTCACTTACGACCGAGGAGACATCAACACTGATGTATCAGGAGCATAAACTCTTGTGATATCAAATTTTACATTCATTTAGTTTTCACTCAATCTATCTAATTTAAAATAAATTCAGTTCACTAAAAAATTTTATCTCAAATTATCTTTACGAAAAAACTATTGAATTTTCCTGAGGTTAAACTTCAGGAAGGATCTCTACTAATCTGAAATTAATGGCAGAAAACCGAATATACACGTTTTTGTTTTAATTCGATTAATCCATTCGGAAGCAAATTGCTCATTTTTAGCAAAAAAACAGTACTTTTTCTTTTTTGCTTCCAAATGGAAACTTTGTAATCGTTGTTTTTAACGATATTTCAATTTCGCCCAGCAATGCTGATGTAGAAATCATGTCATGCCAATGAAACGTGGGGACATGATGTTTTTAGAAAATATATGTGTACTGTTAAAAATTTTCTACTGAAATTTCAAACAATTTTGTCATTGAAAATTTATAATTTTATGGAAAAATCCATGAAAACTGCAAATTTCAATTGAATTATTCCAGGAAAATTTATGAAATATCAGGAAAATTCAGAGCAATCTCTCCTTGAATTCTAGATTCATCTGAATTTTCAGGGAATTCGTTCAAAATTCATAGAATTGGGAGAAATTTTAGGTAAAACTTGAAGCTAAAAATCTGAAATTTTGTCCTTAGTTCTCACTCCCTCCCAGCGAATTTTTTAAATAATTTTTCTCCAATAAAAGAAAGGATAAAACTGAGGCATTCCTGACGTTTTAGGCTTCTCAAAGTCTAAATAATTCATTTCTACTATTGCTTCACTTTAAAAAAAAGTAGGAAACTTCCTAATTCGTCATTCTGGATGAAATAGTGATATCAAAAAATTTTCAGACAAAATTTCGACTCCAAAAACGATTAAATAATACGAAATTGAGAAGAAGATCGTCCCCGGTACTTGTAACTACTCCGAAAAATCCAGTTAGATAAGACACCAGACAGAGACCGGATTTTTGCATATTCCGGCAAAAAGTTGTCCTGAGCCACAGTGCAGAGGCCAAAGTGATTCACACAGTGACATAATTTTCTATCTTTTTCCAACATCAGTTACTTGTCACAGCAAAATGTGGAACTTGTTACAGGGCACTGGAATTTATTCAACACCCAGAACTGAAGATAAGCCAGAAGAACAAATTCACCTTTCGTGCATTGTTATAAATCCAGAGTTTTTTCTGGTGTAAATTGAAGCCCTCGTATCCTCTATATTAGGGGCAGCCCTTCATCTTCCCCCACCGTCTCTGGATCCTCGATAAAGTTACTCGTTTTTGCAAGCACTGGGTGTTATTAATGACCTATACCCTCCATCCGAATTTATATATCCCCAACCCTCATACTTGCCTCTGAAATTTTTGTTATACCCGGTTGGCTGAACCGTTTGTACCTTCGTTGGACTGATAAGGTAACGATAAAATGGCCCTTTTCAGGAATAAAAAAGACTACAGATGAAGAAGAAAAAGGAAACGAATGGAATGCAGTGAGTTTTTTTCGCTGGAGGAGGAGGAACCAGGTGAAATTTATTGGACTCCGTGGAGCTGAGTTTAAAAAGAAAATGGGGGGATGCGAAGGTGGAAGAATTGTGGGGTGATGCTGGAGAGAATGAAAGAAAAAAGATAGAGAGGTGTTGGATTAGGAGAAGTCTCTTGAGAGATCAATTCTTACTATTGAATTTACGATTGGGGAGGTAGAAATTTGATAAAAATAACTGGGGGAGGAATTGTTGGTCGTTTTTCAAGAAATATTGAGCGAATGAAGAGCAAGTGGGAAATTGCTCTTTTATTGCATGTAGTATAGTTATTTTTCCTAATAAATTAGCAATATGCTTCCGAATGGTTATTTTGCACATTATTTCGTTCTATCATGTATAATTCATTGTTTATTTCATTTTATTAAATTGAATAAGATTTCTTTGTATCTAATTTTGTCAGATTTTGAACTTTGATGAATGTTATCGTCATCATTATTCTTATTATCCCTTTCTTCTACACAACCGATTGGCTTTTTTATAGTTCTATCTCTTTCCTCAGCCCTTCGATAAAATGTTGACAGAAAAATTTTATTTACACATACTTGAATGAATTTGAAACATCACATTTGAAGAAACCATCAGAAAGCTCACTTTCAGGGAAATTCATGAAAAATTCGAAATTTTCAACAATCATCATAAAAATCAAATCAACCAATATAGCTACCGTAATCATCTTTTAACTTCGACTCAATAGCATTAAAACAAACATTTTAAGTTATGATTGAATTCATTTGAAGCATGATATTCAAAGATATCCCCGGAATTTTTATTTTCAAAAAATACAAAATTTGTGCAAATTTTCAAATAAATCAAAATAACGATTATTGCTATCGTCTTCATCATTGAACTCGGTCAGAAGGACATCCAAAAAATTTTTTCAAGTCATCATTCAATCAATTCAGAACATTTTTTCTTAGTTATAGTGAGAAAACAGACATTTTCCTAGAATTTTCTAAAAATCTGGGGAATTTTTCTCCTTCTGATAAACATGAGAAAATTGATATTTATGGCACAAAGAATAGTTTGCGGATTTGAGGAATTTGAAAGTACCGCGAGTTTTGTAGCGACTAACTTCACGCGACTCATTGGCCAATGAGAATTGAGGATTAGCGGTCAGACAATTTCGATATATTTCGATACGGGCGAATGATCTACTGACTGACAGAAATTGTGATTGTGACTTTAGTATTTCCTTAAAATGGCATTGTTTCTTTGTTATGTAAACTTTGAGGGCCCAGGTGCCATAGAAGTTATGATCATTTGGTAATATGTATTTTTGACACAATAAAAATAAACTTCAATACAAAACAACTTCACGAAGCTTTCATCTTTAAACCTTTTAGAAAAAACGCATGAGTAATATCTCAAATGGAAAATGAGAACGCGAATATGGCAGATATCTCGAACGAATGGAAAAATTCAGGCAGTTTTCATGAGTACAATCGTCTTGCGTCGAATTTTCATGAAGCCCGCCTAACAAACAAAAGAGAATTGAATACCATTTTATGAAATATAAATAAACGAATCATAATTGTCCAAATCGTTTAGGTCAGAGGAGAATAGAATAATTCTACTTTCTTAATATTGCGTTTACTGAGGTTTTCTTCGAACAAAGTTGATTAGAATTAATAGCTAGAATTATGAGATTATCTCACATTTTTTATGTTAAGGATAGGATCTGAATGCACTATAGTAAAAAATGATGATCGATTTTTGCACTTTGAACAAATAATATTAATATCCCAATACAAAATTTCTGATATGAATAAAAAGAAGCTGTGACTCAATATTCCAAATGAAGTTTCAATTTTTAATTTGGTGCTGAAAAAACGAGATGACAATATTCTAAGCACGGAATTATAATGATGAGATGAACAACAGATTAATTGAATTACCGTGTGAGCTAACTAAAAACTGATAACAGTGTAGGCACTTTTATCAGAATATCAACAAACATTGAATTCCAGAAATTCCCACTCTAAAGTGTGTTCTAGCAGGACTTGAATTGCAATTATGATTAAAGTCCTATTCAGTGAGAGTAGGAATTAGAAAATGAGCCAATCATTTATTGTAATATGAAAATTTAACAGCTGATAAATTGGGACATACGATTTTCATCGCTCGTATTGCTTTTTGCAACGAGAATGATTACCAACAATTAATTGAAAAAGGGAATATCGAATCTGACAGGAAAAAGGGCATGAAAAGTTTGTCATGAAAAATTGAATTCATATTGCAGTGGCAAAAGACAAAGAGTGCACGCGCAATATTCAATCACTCCTCTTTCGCCTCGTAGTTGACACGCGTTTGTGTACTCGACAACAAAGAGAGCCCTCCCCACCATCTGGAGGGCAAAATACATGCATTGAAAAGCACTCACCTGCACTCGTTGTCGATGACGCTCCTGTTTTCTCTGACGTCTCTCCAACTCTTCCTTCCGCTCGATCAACGACCTTATCTCTGGCGGTGACGTCAAATCCTTTGGAACTGTTGATGAGAAACGCTTTGATGAGGATCCTGGATCGTCGTCGTCATCCTCGCTATAGCTGTCCACAAGAATTTCTGAATCACTCTGGAGATGAAAAAAAAGTATGAAACATTCATTAGCAGAGTGAATGGACAGGGAAACGAGTAGGAATAAATATTAAAACCAACGAAGATAATGTTAACTCAGGCTATTAAATGGCACGGATTTCCCATAATATTTATTCTTAAGGCCCTGCTCTATTATCTGCCGAATATCATCTAGATTAGAACTGTGCGCGCGCTTATCTATTTGTTGTGAAAATGAAGAAATCGAATTTATTAAACTTTATATACTTATAGATGCTTTTTAAATATTGATAATGACTTGAAGAAAATTAAGAGAATGAAGAGTGAAACATCAATGAATAATGTTTAATCTTCGACTCGTTCTTTTTTTTACTCTTTAAAATAATCTGATTAAAATCTGTAATTCTGTAATTAAAATCTGTAGGATCATTGTTTTCTTGGATTAACTTCTATCGGTCAGTCATGAGTGATCATTACCTGTTCTGGTGGTGAACTTGGTGCACTTGTACTAGAAGCCTCGACTAGAGAAACATATTCACTAATTCCCGTTTCACTCTTCTGAAGTTTCAGCACCGGTGTTTCAAGGCCACACAGGAATCCCGTGCAAAAGAAGTGGAATTTTTGTAACCTCAAGCAGACCTGGGCTACTTCCTGAAAGCAAATACCTTCGAATTAGTTGAACAATATCGTCGACGTGGATTCAGAAAATATATTACTACTATTATTTCATATTCTATTTATTATTATTTATATAATATTTTATATTGTTTTATTACTATCATTTTCAAAGTGATATTATTAGTATTATTACTAGACTCCGCTCACAGGCACACCCTCCCCTAGATTTGCTAATCACCTCAAACCACAAATGACTTCGAATTTGCTCCATTCGAAAGCAAAAACAAAAATTATCAATTTTCTGTCGGTGGTCCATTTTGCCTGCCTGGTCCGTTTTGCCCTACCCTCCCCTAGTTGTTAGAACAACATAATTCTCTAAATTCACAAAGGAAGCAAATTATTTCCAACACATGAATGATTTTTTTCCATGTAAAATGAAATCGCGTGAAGAGGGCGCAGCTGGTATGAACCCCAAAAAACAAACAAATATTGAATAATTAATTGACGAATTCATATTGTTCCAGTTCGACCAAAAATTCCTCACCAGATCTTCTATTTTCAGAGCGTAGAAAGACTCCTGCGGATTGGACATCAGTGGTGTGAAACCGGATAACGTGGCATCCTCGGGTAACTTCACCAGGTTCACCTCTGGAAGATCGTAATCAATTCGACTCGATAATTTATCTATTCAAAATAACTGTTTATTATTGACTTGTCTCAATAATGAGTGACCACAGAAAAAAATATCAGACTTTGCTACCGAATGAAAGCTTTGTGATCGATCGATTTTTCGATTCTCTAATTCTCTAATTCTTGGAAATGACTCAGAACGTCATGAAACGTCGAGATATGTTTTTAGAGGACTAAAGTGATAGATAAAAATCTGAAATTTTGGCTCATAATTGGTATTACTCGGGAGCGCATCTGGGCAAAATTTCAGCTTAATCAATCCAGTAGTTTTTAAGATACAGCAATTCCGAACAATTTTTCTTTTCTCAATATCTCGAAAACTACTGCATCAAATGAAGTTTTTTGGCGTCAAAATATTCCTTATGATAATGTCTATCGAATCAGACCATAATATGCCTAGCTAACTATTACGAGTCGCTCAGTAATTGACATTTTTCATTTTTGTGATAAAATTGATGTGAACACGAAAACGCTTGCAAAAATTGAGATAGGAAGATGAAATTTGGTAAGGTTCTAGCTCTTCAGTCTGGAATTTGAGATGGGTAAAATCGAATGAGTAGTTTTAAAAATATTCAATTTTTTGTATAAAATATATTGTTTAATACCTCAAAAAACTAATCATCCGATTTCAATTTCTTTTTTTCAAAATATGCGTCTTGATGTCTCCTATCTAGTTCTTTCAAAATATATATACCCGTTCCTATTTTCTATTTTTTTTTTAGTTTTTCTATTTTTTTTTGTCTGAAAGTTGCTTTGACGTTCCATTACATGAGTGAACAATGCGGTAAAGTTCTAAAATGTTCAGGACTAGTTGGTATCATCGAGTTGCACTCCTGTGTAAAATTTCAGATCGATCGATCCAATACTTTTTGAAATAGAGCAGTTGATGTAAGAAACGTTTTTCGCATAAAATGACATATCGTTGTTCTATCATTGATTTCCACATGGAAACATTTCTTAAAAATGGGATCGTGTAAATATGCCTATTCCACTGAATAAAACTGAAATTTAATTCTCAATTTTAGAAGGTCAAACCTTTCGAGGAAGCGTTTCCAATAAAAATTGCCACTTTTCAATTAAAAAATGAAATTTCTACAGATCCATTCGGAAGCTTACTACCAATCGAATTGGTAGAAATAAAAAATAAAAAAGACAAATACGCATCAAGTCACGGTTACACGCCTCCTGACAGAAAGACTCGGCCCCCTTCTTGTTTCATATTTTCAAAATCTTTCTTTCTATTTTCTTCTGGAATCACCAACTCCCTGCATGCTCCCCCAAATTATTTAATACTTACCATTCCATCTACCCAAAACATCACAAGTCGGGATGATAACATATCGTGGCCACGGTAGCTTAGTCAGGATATTCACCATCATAGCTAGCCTACTCCATACATCCCCAGGTGGTCTAAAAATTTTTTGGAAAAAAACAATAAAAATTCACGATAAACCATCCGTACGTGAAAGTCATTAATCAGCAATTGCGAAACACCATTGTCCATATTCATAAGACTATTATCCAATAATTATTATAATGAATAAAACAAAGAGTAATCAGCATTCACTCGTCGAGTAATTGTCGACATGAAAATAACTGGTGAAAGGGTCAAGCATGAACGGCAAACAACTCACATTAAACAATATCTTTAAATACACGCAGTTATTTCTTCTCTACATGCTACTACAGGTTCGCTGGAATTGAATTTGTCTCGGTGGTGAAGTCGTCCTTGCCAAGGCGACGCTTGACTCACGTAATTGTTAATCGTTAACGAGAAACAATAATTAACTTATCCCAAGCAGGATTGCTGGGGACGGTTGCGCAAACTCGTGCGATCCTTCTCTTCTCAATACTTTTTTTCTTATTCTTTTCTTTTCCTTATTTTGTTTCCATCGCTTCTCTTTCTTTCAGGGCTCTTCGGGTGGTGGGCCTTGGAAATCATTTAATGGCTGATGTAGTGCACCTTTGAAACAATCTTCAGCAGAAGCTCATGCGGTGAACTTTTTTTACTTCTTCTGCCTCTTCATCTCTTCTGCTATTTTTCGTTTTTTTCGGGCTGACGTCCGACGATTCGATAGCGGAATTATTTTGTACGAGTGACGCATATCTTTGTATATAATCGGGTAGAGGATGACAGTGACGTATTGGTTGAGAATATGAGAAGTGTGAGCTTGAAAAATTCGTAGATGATGACCAAATTATCTGTGACTTTATTGCCGAAAATAGACATGATTGGATAGGTGCAACTAAAGCAGACTATGATCGTGGCATTTGACATTATTTAATATTGGATAAGATATTATCGCATTGATAGTTCCAATCAGGTGTCGGAGTGCATCATTGACGACTATTGAGTAGGAGCCTAGAATTCCAAATATACTCCAAATTTTCAGACAGGATTGCTAGAGACGATTGCGCAAACTCGTGTGACCATTTTCTTCTCAATATTTTCTTATTCTTTCCTGTTACTCATTTTGGGTTCATCGCTTTTCTCTCGGTTAGTGCTTCTCGGGTGGCGGGCCTTGAAAATCATTTAATGGCTGATGTAGTGCACCTTTGAAACAATCTTCAGCAGAAGCTCATGCGGTGAACTTTTTTTACTTCTTCTGCCTCTTCATCTCTTCTGCTATTTTTCGATTTTTTTTTTGGCTGACGTCCGACGATTCGATAGCGGAATCATTTTGTACGAGTGACGCATATCTTTGTATATAATCGGTTAGAGGATGACATTGGCGTATTGGTTGAGAATATGAGAAGTGGGAGCTTGAAAAATTCGTAGATGATGATCAAATTATGTGTCGTTATATAGCTGAAAGTAGACATGATAGATAGGTGTAATTAATACAGTCTGTAATCATCGCATTTGATATTATGCAATATTGGACAGAAATTACCGCACTGATGGCTTCAATCAGCGGTCGTAGTGTTCCATTGACCATTATTAAAGTAGCTTTACCCTTACAAAAAATTTAAAAATGATCAAAAACTGCAACCAATTTCCAGAAAATTAGATTTGACTGAAAATCCTTTTTTTTCTCAATTTAATGACCATTCCGGTGTTTTGAAGGAAAAATGTTGAGAAATCAAGATTCACCTCAACATTTAAGTGAAAATCAACAATTCATTTATGATTGAAGACTAAAATCTGAATTCCATCTGCATTAGATGTGAACAAGTTTTTCAAACTAGTTCCATTATTAATTTATGAGATTGAAATATTGAAAAAAATATTCGCATTCTGCAAGATATAACTCTGATGGTTAGAGGTGCGTACAGGACAGAACTACTTCAAGTAGGAACCCACAATTATACAAAATAATTCCTTTTTGCAGGTGCTCGTTCATACTAATTACAGTTATTCATTACATTTTTTATTGGCTGGATAATCAAGGAATTCTCTCATTAGTCCCACGAGATTTTGTTATCTAAATTAAAGTTTTACTGCCATCGTGATGAGTATTCGCAAACTTGAAGACAAACGTGTCCTTGAAGATTCTTCAAATTACATTTTTCGAGCCATCTCTTTTGTTTCATTTTTTTAAAGGATGTAACGTCGGAGTGAACGGTGACTACAAGCATCTAGCTACCACCTAGTGATGACCCCTGCACCTGGCCTCGAGATGTTTCGAAGAAGTGGTGGACACCAAGAAGGTAAGATCATGAAAAAGGGTGGGTCCATCGTCCCTGACCCCCAGCTATCATCAACGTCAACATCAACCTCTTGGTGCCTGTCATGAAGATTTTTTTCTTAATTTTAATCTTGTAATTCATCTTTCCTCAAGGTCAATTGGTGTTGAGGTAACACGGTCAGTTGATTTGACGCGTGCTACGGAGAACCGGGGGATATCAGGGTTTCTGCGTGACTTCCTCAGCGGCGTAATCTGTTGGCGAGAGTGCGCATCCTCTGGTTACCGACCGCGTTCATCTGCCATTAGTTTACTTCGTTTATTTAGTGCAGAAAACTTTTGTTGAAAAATTCCGAATGTTTCATTTTTGTTTTGCGGGTAGTTGAGGTATCTAATTATGGATAAACCATGAAGCTGCTCATCTCCGAACTTTCTGTATTCTACCATCCTATGGTATATGCGGTGGGATTGAATTTCCGCTAATGGCGAAAGTTTTTCGATAGTTTTGGCGGGGGATAGAAGATTCCAGAGATGAATTAATGTGAGAGATAGTCTAGTAGAAAAGGTCCGGATGAGGCTAGACATCGATTAAGTGTTGAAATAGGGCAGCTGTTTTAATAATATCGATGCGGTATTTTTATTTATTTATTGATCTGTTCATTCATTTATTTATTTATTTATTTATTTATTTATGCATTTATTTATTCATTTCTCTTTCTTTCCATCTTTCTGTCTTTTTAAAAAAGTGAAATCCTTGAATAAATGATAAATATCCGCTGGAATCGAATTTAATGTTAACCGAAATTAGATGAATGTCAACTGCTTGAATTATTATCAATATATCTCCTCCTCCTGTAGGCCATTATGCCCTACCCTTATTTTTCCAAACGACAACGTTTCGAGAACTAAATGTTCTCATCCGAGCGTTTTTATTTTACGCTTTTAAATTCAAAGGATTTCGAACAATTATTAGAATATTGCATTGTAAATAATATTGGAAATAATCAAATGAAAATTACCATATGCCATGAGATGTTTAAGCCTTTTGCAGAACTTCGCAAGAACCAATCAAAGATAAAAAAGGACAGTCAATAAAATTGTTAACATATTAATAACTTACAAACCAAAAGATTGGGATTTGACAGCGGTCATAAGAGTCGACAACGCAAATTTGTCAAGACATACACCATCAATCACATCTCATGATGAAACTACTGTACATTTATGTTGTGCATTCAGGTGTCTTTCATCTCAAATATAATAAATCTGTTGCCCATTCTTTGGTCGCGATCGACGCAAAACGACTGAGTGCATTTCAATAGTATTTTTGCTATTATATAGTTTACGGTCATCCCCAATAGACTTTAAGCTATAAGTTATTGCGCTGCGGTGCATAGTTCAGTATGCACAGCAGAAACTTCCAGAAAATTCTGGAGTTTTCTGGAAAATTCTAGAATATTCGCGAGTTTTTGGCAATATTTTTGACATTTTTACCAAGTTTGAGGATGTTCTTGGGTTTTATAGAAAATTCGAGAAAATCCTGTGGTTTTACGGAAAATTCCAGGAAATTCTCGGGTTTTCTGAACAATTCAAAAAATTTCTCCAGTTTTCGAAAAATTCCAGAAAATTCTTTGGTGTCACAGAAAATTCGAAAGAACTGTTGAATTTTCAAGAAAATTCTCTGATTTTCTAGAAAATTCGAGGGAATTCTCGGATTTTCAAGAAAAGTTGAAGAAATTCTTGGGTTTTCTGAAGAATTTTCTTTGTTCCAATTGAGCAATTTCATTCATAATTCTGATTGACAAGTGCGGCCCAACTTCACCCGGGTAGAATAAGAGAAAATTGAACACCAGGATTTTTGAGAATTCCTGCAATGAAAAGAAAACACCTCAATGTTTTCGACTTTTCTAGAACACCTGAGAAGTCAAGAAAATTTGAGGGTTTTCCAAAGAAATTGAGAAAATTCTCGGATGTTCTAGAAAAGTGAAAAACATTGAGTTTATTTTTTAATTGCAGGAATTCTCAAAAATTCTGGTATTCAATCTTCTTTATTCTTCCGGATCACACCGCCAGGTGTCAATATGTTTAAATCTGTCTAAAAGCTAGTTCATTTCCGTGAAAATATTTTAATAACATTTATAAAATTAATATTGCTAATACTAACCGCACACTGTTAAAGTTTTTTTCTGGATTTTCCGAGTCAAATCCCGGAAATTTCTATCATGTTCAATGTCCACTGAAATTTCAGGGAAACTTGTCATTGAAAAATTGAATCTTCCATAGATTTTCTTTTCGAATGGTCTGAAAATCACTGAAATACTTGATTTTTCAGTTCAATTATTTTGTGAAAATGAGGAAAAATCTGGAAAATTCAGGAAAAAATTGAAGATTTATGTTCCTTTCTTCCTCAATATTTATGTTCCATTGAAAATCAAGTCAAATTGTGGAATGTCCGTCTCACTCCCACTGAAAACTCATGAATTGTCTTGAATTTTACCTAAAACTTGAAATTTCATAACCATTCTCCCTCTAAGCCAGATTCAATGTTCCTCCCATGAGAATTATCACCGTACTTTCCCTGAAATTTCGAAAAATTTCTAACAGTGCACAATGGACCGGAGGAGGAGATATGTTGTAGGAGACAAAAATTCCGGAGATGAATTACTGTTCAAGATAATCCAGCAGGAAACCTCTGCAAGAGGCAAGACATCGATCAACTGTTGACGGAGGTCAGTTATTTCAACAACTGATTGATTTTTAAACGAAACAATACTTGAACAATTTCATCACTTCGGTATCTCAAAATGTGAACCATAAGTCAAGAGCTGTTCTTGAAAAGACGATAAACCTGTGATGGAATTGAATTTCTCCTGTCGAAACTTTCCCGATCGTTTCAGTCGGTGATAAAAGTTCCCCAGATAAATCGATATGTGAGATAATGCACTTGAATTTCATCACTTGACACTAACACGTGAAAAACCATAAGTCAAGTTGTCCTTGAAAAAATGATAAACTCACCCCACACGATAATCCGTACACGAAGGCGGTGGATTCCACACTGAACTATGACAAAGCATCCAGTCGCACCAAATCTGTAAATAACAAATTACCATAATAATTTGTAGAAATACACACGAGAGTATTATTCAAATTTAGTACTTAATAGCTTCGAGGAACTAATTTTCACTGTTTGGAATGTACAACATACAGCCCCACAGCTTATATCTTATCAGTGTTGCACTACAGTAATATATTTTGTACCATCGACCTTGTAAACTTCCTCACCAGTTGATATTAATGATGTTATATGGACACGAGTGAAGATGTATGTTACCCACCAAGAGAACTCTTTCTCTCACTTTTAGTCATTAGAGTCAGCCAATACACTTTCATTAAATCTTCTCCTACGAGAATACTTCACGTGGAAAGATGAATCTTCCGGTTGGAAAAGTGCCGTTAGCGAAAACTCGGAATAGCGATCGAAGATGGTGGAAAGATTTCCAATAGATACATCGATAGATTCGAAAAATTAATGAAAAAAGTTTAAACAGAGAATGAAAAAACGATGGAAAATGAGCAAAATAAGAGCCATGTACGCGGAATCTTTTATCACCGAGAAATGCAAGATAGTTGGCTATCTACATTGACTAGTTGCCGAAGAAGATATCGATGGAGTTTAGCTGTAGGATCGACGATCGATCTCTCTCCAAACGTGAATAGTTTCTCCGTGGATTATTCACCAATGGAATGACTCAAAAGAAGTCGAAGAATTGAGTAAAAATTCAGCGTGGAATCTTCAGGTTGAATTCTCAAACGTATTGATGTCGATGAATGTTACCAGGAAGTGGTCTCTTTCGTCATCGACAATGAACTTTATCGATGGAGCCCTTGCACGCACCGATGGGTGCATTAATCCCCCGTGCACCGTATGAAGCCACCAGTGCTACCTCCACGTTACATAATAAGTCGATGGAGAGAAACTCGTGGTGTCTGATACATTGACATTGACCAACATCGTTTCCCACTGGCGTGGGTGGATACAGGTAGGATTCATAAATTACTGAAGTGAAATGAAGGTGAATTCCAACAACTTCAGGATACTCTCAATGTCTTGGGCAAACGATTAATTTCATTCCAAGTGTTTTTTTAAATTCATTTATGAGCCTGAATTCATTAATTATGACTGGTGATAAAGTAAAAATTTATAGACAAAGTGGAGTGGTTTCTTCGATACCTTGATAGCTGGGAGAAGAACCTGCATGTCATCGTCCACCACCAATCTCGGTAGCTCGTCGTTATCGAGTTGTACCTTCAGGCGAGCAACAGCACGCTCCAATATCAAATTAAACATCTGAAGTGATACCACCAAGGCTCGCTCCTGCACTTCGGATCTGTAACCCTGCTCCATTTGTGAATCTGTAAGTAAATATGTGATAGATAATTAATTTAATTGTCGATAAATTATTGAAAGTACTTTGTTATCGCCGGGATTTCATCGATAGACGTTAGTACAATGTACGGCTTCCTTTCAACCCACGGGAAATACCGAACTTCAGGAACAACGTGAATACTGCGAATACTCACGCAATTATTTTTTGGACTTTGGTGATTAGGTTTGAAGGATTTTTTTCGTTCGTTACATTTTTCATTGGAGACGAATTTAATACGGGTATACAACGTGACACTGATTTCCAGGGATGTGGCACGGATTTCTGGAAATCTATCACCAATTATTCACAGAGAAAAAGAGTTTGTGCTTTGGTTTCAGGGATATATCACTGATTTTCAGGAATTTATCGCTAATTATTAGGGATTCGCGATTGTGAAAGACAGTGATTGCAATTTTTTTGGAATTCAGTCATTTGATCACCATTTTCAGTGACATTATCACTGATTTCCAGTGACATCGTCATTAATCGTTAGGGACATCATCACTGATTTTTAGAGTGATGTCACTGATTTTCGGGAATCTATTAGCAAATTTTAGTGATAAAAATCAGGGATGACCCTGATGATCAGGGTCATCCGTGTCAGCGTCCAGTATCACCAATAGTTGGTGACATGCTCCTGGGAATCAGTGACATTTCCCTGAAACTCAAAACTTTAATCAGTGTTGATTTCTGATCACTGACTGAAATAACTCCCTAGATTTCACTGAAAATTAGTGATTGAGTCGCTAAAACAAAATAGCATAGTCAATATATTTGTGCTAGTAAGTTAACAACTTGCTTCCGAATGGAATTTCTGTGAGGATATATTTTTAATTGAAATCAGTGATTCATTGAATTCAACATTGCCCCAACGTTGGCGCCCAACATTGCCCAAACGTCGACAACCAACATTGCTCCAACGTTGGCAGCCAACATTACCCTAACGTTAACACCCTACATTGACCCAATGCTGGCAGTCAACGTCGCCTCAACATTCGCGACCAATATTGTCTCAATGTTGGCTGGCAGCATTGCCCCAGCGTTACAATTTTTTAGCTTCACCTGAATATTTGTTTCAAAATCGTATATTTCAATACGAATGCGTAAAAATGTTTTTTAATCCATAGGAGGTGTGCCTTCGGTGAGCGCTACTCTCCCAAGGGTCCAAAAACACTTTTCCCACGAGTGTCGAATTCTATTTTTCATCACGTGTGAAAAGTAGGATTTTGCGCATGCGAAGCGTGCGTAAAATTTTACTTTACGCACAAGTGATGAAACTAACATATTCGAACTCCTGAGGCCAAAATTAGTTACCCTAACACAAAAAATAGGAAATTTCGGATTTGACAAATATAATGCTTGTATGCGGAAGCAAAATACTGGAAAAATGACTGAATTTCAGAATTTTGCACTCGTTCAATTCCAAAATCGCCAATCCCTAACAATTGAGGATAAATTCCAATTCCAAAATTAGTGCCATCAGTCCAATTTTCCTAATAATTGGGGATGGATCCCTGATAACCAGTGACCTATCTCTGGAAGTCAAAACGTTTCTTTCTCCGCGTTGAAGTACAAACAGTAATTCAATATGAGACGGTAAGAGAGTGAACCAATTACAGTCAACGGGATTTGAGATTTAGGACTTTCTCCCAATGCCTCCATTACTACTAATTAACGAAGTGAGGCTGTAGCAGATGATAACCATACTTTGCCTCGTCCCCTCCCTCGACGCCGCACAAACTAACGAAGTCTCTCGTCTGTCTGGTATAGTAGACACCGATATTGACTCAATTACTAACCGGTGAAAACGAACGGAAATTCAATTACCGTGGACCATGTTATGACATCGTGGCTCTACTCTCGTTACAATATCCTCACTTCTGTGTAGGTTTTTTTGGTGATGAAGTAATTTGATTTCGGGTCTTACTAAAACCGTTGAAATTACATGAATAGCCGGAAGTAAGCAAAAGTAACGGAAACGAAATTTTTATCTGCACCCAAAAAAAAATTACTTTTGATCAGTAGAAACAGTACTTGTACCCAGTACCAAGGGGTTTCTGGGGAAAAGGCACATTTTTGTACTTCCTCGAAGTTACGAAACAACTTGATGCAAGTATCATGCGTCAAGAACCTGTGTACTGGTGAGAAGTACCTCAGTACTTGTCACAAGTATTTTGTCACTTGGAACAAGTAACAAAATTATTTGTGCTGAGTACCTGGCTGGTTGTTTTCAAAAGTACCAAATAAACTCAATGTAAGTTGAGTATAAGAACTCAAAAATGTTTTTGTAACTCTTCTAAAAACCGAATTTCGTCAAAAATTCCAAAATCTAAACAATTCCCGTTTTGTGAGTAATAGAATTGAAAAGAAATTGAAAATAATTTTTCGAAGCCTTTTAAATGTTGATAACAACATAAAGAATAAAAGATCTCAACAAAATTGAAATTTCGTTGGTTGGAAAGCATACCAATAATTCTCGAAAGCATCCGAAAAAATCACGATCTATTGATTTTTTCCTACAAAATATCTTCTGCTGAATATTTCTATTTATAAAAATGCGTAAAAAAGCCCATTCTATTCGGTAATAATATTCCCTTTTTTCAATAAAGTAATCAATTGGAAGTACTGAAATTAAGTCCTAAAAGAACTTGAGAGAAGTTGAAAAATTACTTTTCACTAGTATCTTTGGTACTTGGAAAAGTACTAAAAGTACTGGCAGTAAGTAGTGGTACTACTTCCTCCCAGTACCATTTTTACTCGATCGGCAGATGTGGTACTTCACCCAAGGACACAAAATGTACTTGGGACGAGTATTTCTAGAACTTTTCAAAAGTGAACTTCCCCCAAGTACCGGTTTGTACTGGTGAGAAGTAATTTTTTTTTGGGTGTGTATTTGAAAACAATGCGTCTCAAATGCAAAAATATGTTTTAGAATTACGAATAATATTTGCGAATTGATCCTTTTACTTGTATCATTGCAGTTACTATGACTTCATTCATTCTTATTTTATACAATCAGTACTTAGAACAAATTCAGTAGCGAAGCGGTAAACCGGGTCAAGTCGATTTTAACTATTGGCCAGTTTTTGGCGAATATCTCGAAATCTACAAGAGATAGAAAAATTTTTGATACGATCTTTTTTGTAGAGCCAGTTAAGGGTTATGGAAAAGGTTATGAGAAAAATTTTGCTATCTCTCTTAGATTTCGAGATATTCATCAAAAATTGACCGAAAGTCAAAATCGACTTAACACGGTTTACCGCTTCGCTACTGAATTCCATCGGGAAAATTGAAAAATCATTTTCCTTCCTGGTAAAAGTTATGAACATCCGAGGAAATAAGTCCTAGACTGTTGGAGAAAATCCTAATTTCGCGGACAGTTGACGAATAATTTTTAAGAAAGTGATATTAAATTGCATTTAGGGGGAAAAACTCTGGAAAGTTCTGTTTGCATTAAGAATTGAATACAATTACAACTTTTTTCAGCAGCAAATTACGCTGAATTTTTAATCCATTGCAAATTCGGGAAAATATCTACGCTCATTTTTCTAATGTCTATTAATTTTTATGCAATAATTAAACTGAAAATTTCGAACATAAAATTTCGAATTTTCAATAACAAAATTCCTTGAAATTTCAGGGGAACTCTAATGTTTTTAAATTTTCATTAGTATAAATAACGTGTTCATCGAACAATTTTTGTCCGTTTGGCGACTCTAATATATCCGTCACTATCGCAAATCCTTGGATAAATTACAATCTGATGAAATGTTTGTTCATTATCATTATAATTTTTTATGTTTCCTGTACTGTAAAAAAATGGCACTGCTTTACCCCCTTGTATAATACCAAATCTGTAACATTAATAGCTTCAATAAATAAATAAACATTAATTAATTAATTGATCAATGCCATGTAAGAAGCGAATTTTAAAAAAATAGCTCGTAATTGTTATCCCACATATTTTTCCGAAAATTAAAAAAAAATCCTTCGCAGCTCAAAAGATCTATATAATCGATCTTCAACGTATGAAAAGTCGCACTCCAATAACCCGCGACTTTTAAAACCCATAGTATTCTCCCCTTAAATTGAGACTTTAGAAAGTCTCAATTAGAAGCATTTAAAAATCTCAATTGTCGACTTTCAAAAGTCTCAATTTAAGCTCATAAGTCTCAAAATAAAGCATGTATTTTTTTTCCTGTAATTTTTGCACACCGAGCTGAAAATTATTGCCACGTATTAAGACGCAGTGCGGATGCTTACTGAAAACACCATTAAATAATTCAATTCACCGATGAAACGTTATAATTTACCCCGAGGGAATAAAGATGGTGGAGAGGTGGTGATCCACTCTCATCGTCCAGCCCCGGTGGAAGCATGCAGAAGGCATTCTATTGCAATTTTTTTTTCTTCATACTTCCCCTGTGGTGGTATCTATCAAACCGCCCACTGTCAATATTACGAACGGTCTAACCGATCGAAAAGTGCTTATTAACCCGCCCGTTCCATTTGCTTAGGAACTCTCCTGCTATTGACGTACTGAGCAAGTGAGTAATATGAGAACGCTCGATTACGCTCATATATATCCAGTGATTGTAATGTCACTTTTAGGGCCCTCGGTAATATTTGATGTTGGGAAAAACAAGCAGTCAAGAAGTGGATATTGTCTGCGGAGAATTGGGGGTTATGATTCCCCTGATGATGAAGTCTACTAACGGAACGCTGGAAGTTATTAATGAGACTGAGGAGGAAGACTGGATGAAGCGATGCAAATAATTGATTCAATATTTTTTGGGCACTCGTTCACTATTCACTTGAATCCAACGGGGCTTAACTGTATGATTAATCGAGTCTCATCAGAACATGGAGTTAAATTAATAATAAATCTTATTTTGGGTTAAAAGAGGTGGTTATGATGAACTAGGGGGCTACGCCCCCTCATATAACCTTTATATGACCCGCATGACCCTTACTTGGACCTTTATT